AGGATTTCAGTGGTTCCTAGGGGGATTAGGGTTAATAAGAGGAACTTTGTATGAGAAATGAAACAATGAAGATCAAAGGATTGGGACCTAAACATGTCCTTGTTAGAAGCAGAACGTTGTATTAACAGAGCTGTTATTAATGAGGTTCGACTGAAGTTACAAGTAGACTTGATTCAAGTCTGAGATGATGTGCTGTACAGTCAACTCTCGTTATAAAAAATGTTATAAAGAACAGATTTCAAGCATCCCAAGTTCTTGATTTCTTGTGTTTTTGTTTTCCCACCCCTGTTATAACAAAGTCCTGGTTATTACTAAGTAATTTGTCTGATCCCTGGAACTTTGTTAGAACGAGAGTCGACTGGACTGACTTCCTTTCTGGCATGGTTCCCAGAGGCCTCTCGGTACATACAGGTGTAGATACATGTGCTTGTCTGATTGGATGGTACCTGGTCCCATGGGCCGCGGGAGTCTGGTTATAAAGGGCACTGGGGAAGTAAGCTTGTATTATGCTGGTTTGGACAGTAAGCAGAATCTGTGACTTGAATTCAGTCTGAAGTTGTGACCAATTTCTAGGGTCATTTTTTTAAGCAGAAATTACTAAGATAAGAAATCATCAGAGAACCAGTCGTTAATATGGTCACATCACCAGCGGCATAGCAAAAGCATTTTCTTGGGGGTGTGCCAGGGTCAATTTGCCGACTGGTCGTTGGAATGAACTGTGACACTAAAGCATTCCCTTGTCATTGTTAACTTGGCTACTGTACAACTAGGGATGTGAAAGGAGTTGTGTTGGACTCGACTACAGTGCTGTGTCTCATGTGAAAATGCTTGTAAACTGTCATGTTCTCCACTGTTCATATGTACCAAACGTGTATGCGATTACAGTGATGAGAATCAATAAAACTTGACTAGAGGAATGATGAAATGGAAGAGTATGTGATTTGTTGTGGCCTCTATCACGGGGCAGCCATATCTTGCTTTTCTGCCATTCAAACCAATGTAACCAAACTGAGGCTGCGTCCCAATCTCTTCACTTCATTGGAAATTTGCGGAGATGCGACAGACTCGGACAGAAGACCCAGCCTGTAGCTCTGCAGTCTGGGAGCCCATTTCCGACACAGCCTATGGCTGGGACAGTAGTCTGTCCCCCTTTTTCAATATGTGAAGTTGTAGATTACTATTGCTATTGGGTCTGCAGGGAACAAGACAAACATGGCTGCATCATGATACTGATGTGTACTCCTTTTGGGCATTTCTTTTGAATATAAATTTGAAGTAAGCTCCTGCAGTCAAAACTGCTTCACTTCGCTTGATTAACACAAAACAATCTTCCCTTTAGCCTAGATCCAATAGCTTTGCATTCATTCGCTCATGTAGTCACAAAATATTTTATAGAGTCAGTTAAATTTAACCGAAATAATATTTTATCAGGTCAGTCCATTTGACAGATCTTACTCAAACAAAACGTCGCCTGAAATTGCCGTGGGAGGGCGCCATACCATCCGCCTGTGTGATATGGCTGGTTCTCAGCGCTTGCGCTTGTCGGTAGCTGGCATTTCTTATGTTTTGTTATGTAATGTGAGTACCAGACTACCAGTGACGCAAACGTAAAGAAAACTCCAGACAGAAGCACAGCTGTAGCACACGCACAGTTTACATATTGACGGTCAAGACTTTTCGAACCGAGGTAAAGATGGCTTGGTAATTTTTGCTCAAGATCGTGATTAAAATGTGTGAGATGTTCAAAGCATAACAGAGTCAAAAACGTGATCAATCAGAGTTGAAAGTCTGAAGTGAGGCCGGAATTCATCCGTTCAGGCCACATCCTTTGGCCTCGTGATCAGATGATGTGGCGCTCGTAGGCACAGACCCGGAAGTACAGTATGTGGAAACATGGTGGAAATTACACGAGGCTATTTACATTATTTGTGGCATACTCGGCTCTAAAATCAGAGCTCAGAAAAAAATCCCTCAGCTTGCGTGCTTTTCATGTATTGAACAAATGTTCAGTGTACCTTGTTCTAGTAAAGTGTTACTCGCTGTAAATAGTATCCCTTTTGTTTTGATTTTGGACGGGATCGGTCATACTAAGGACCGATCCCATCTAAAATTGGTCGTTATAGTAGAGCTACCTACAGTGTACCTACATGTACATTTTGATCATTTATCATGTTTGTCATGGCCATTTGGTCAGCTGTCATGGCTGTCATTCATCCTTCATGTTAATCATGTTAATTTAATTGTTATTCATGTGTTATTGGTAATGAACAAGGTCACAGACGTGACAAAGTCGTACATGTATGTATGTCATGTGTGTCTGATCAATGTAACTTTTTGTGAGCCCACAGGTAACATTACATGAAAATGGAAAATTGTCCATTAACAATAATTACTCCTGACCAGCATGATTAGATTAATACATGTACATGTAGCCCCACTAGTGTGGCATGGTCGTACTAATAAATGTCAACACAACGTCAACACGCGTCAACACACCCAAATCACGTTCTAAGTTAACAGAAATGCAATTCAATAGCAGTATAACGCCTAAAATACAATTTGGCTAACAACAGTGGGCGACATTTGGGGGGAAAAAGCTGTTTTATTTCACGAAAATAACACCCTCGGCACAGCCACGAAAGACAGAAACCATGTTGCCTCTCGGTCAGACGGACCATACCATTACGCAACAGGGGGTCACCTATATAACAGTAAACCATGGTACGGTCCAAACGCCTTGAGAAGGCAAGATGACGGTGGATGGCGGCGCTGCTAAGAGACAATTTTTTTCGGGTTAAAAACTCCCTTGAAATGTAGTAAAATGTAAACTAGATTAAATAGAAATTATTCCTAAGCGTAAACATTACAGTTCGATACGTCTGTTTTCAATGCATTTTGTAAGTGTTGATGGTGCGTTGACGTTTCCGTCAATGTGTTGACAGTGTGTTTACGCTGATTAGTACGACCCGTGTGGCACGGACTCTCACTCCGGCTCCATCCTTAGCCACACATCCGTATACGCAATTTCGTGTCGGCGTACTGAAAATTTTTGGCGCACCCACTTATCATTGTGGGTGCAATTTCTTTTGCACACAGAGATGATCCTTAGCCTCTCTGCTTTCTTAGCCATATTTTAAAGATGGCGACCGTGAGAGCGAGGCCGTGAGATTGAATGGGTGAACGCAAAAAAGGCTGGAAAATACCAGAACAACCTGAGTGAAATCATTCAATAAATGGTGCTAAGAAAGCGGAGAGGCTAAGGATCATCTCTGTGTGCAAAAGAAATTACGCCCATGATAAGTGGGTGCGCCGAAATGTTCAGTGCGCCGACACGAAATTGTGTATGCGGATGTGTGGCTAAGGATGCAGTGGGAGTGAGAGTCCATGCCACACTAGTGGGGCTAGATAAAGCATCATGACTCATGACATGAGTGTGCCATGTGTGCGGGTACATGTACATTCATGTATGGTGTACATTTGTACCATGCTAATGAGCAAGATTCAGAGAGCTCCTTACATGTACCTGTGCAAACATTGATCAGTAATTTTCCCCTGCTGCATGTGCAGTGGTCTATTTGCCATCAGAAGGTGACCATCAGAAGATGAAAAATTCCATTGACCACTTTAGGGCATTTTTTTTAACCCAAACGATTTACATGTGCTTACAGTTTTTACTTCTAGCAACTTAAAGGTTTTTACAAGCCTCGCATGTACAGTCCTGGAAGTACCCAATGATTTTAAAACGGGATGACTATTTGGGAGGCTCGAGATGTGAAACAGGGTCTCGTAGTGTAACTAAGGGGGACAGATTTAAAAGAAGGGCCAATTTCATGCTCTTAAAAAAGAAAAGAAAGAAAAAAAAAGCGGAAAGTACGTGTATTTCCCAGATGCAATTTGAATCATCATCAGTCATACACAGTAGCAAGGAGGCTGGCCTCCAACCTGTAGTCTATTGTGTAGAATAGTACTCGAAATCATCCCAAATTTATCTCAAAATACGAATGTACTGTATGTGTACTGCACATTCAACTTCCTCACAGTTTCAAATGATCTGCAGCATGTACAATGTACACTGTATGTAAGCTGGTAGCACGTGTCGTGTAATATTTGGCCTAGGGTATACTGACGTTACTGAGCAGGCCACAGCTTTTGGGATCTTTTTTTTGTATGAGATACAAGTTCAAAGTACAATGTACGTGTACATGCGCGCACCTGTGATTGTGCAGCTTTGTAATGGCATGATTGGAGGTACCAGTATAGTATGTGCACACATGTACATCTATTGTACATGTACATGTAACCTTACATTTCTTGGAATTCTATCTGCCAGGCTGCCACGGGTTGCATTCCTTTTTTGGGAAACTGGGAAACTGGCTATTACATGTATTAAGTTGTATGTACACACTGGTAAATTATGTGGTAAACATGGCATATGCGTGATGTATCCCAGAGGTTAGCAATGAACCTTGTGTTCCAGTCAGGGTTGGCAATTTTTGTGATGAAAAAAAAAACAAAAATGAAAAACAGCTCTAATTAATTGAAATTGAATTACTTTGATTAAAATCAGGTTTTTAAAATTTGTATAAAAC